ACTCGATCTGTCTTTTTATGATACAAAACGACCCTGAAAATCCCAGGTCGCTAGCTTAATTCGTTCTCAATTCTTTCTCGAGTTATCGTGCGGACATACAGACACACAAATAGAATGAAACTTTTCCGGTCAGTGTAGTAATGGGCTTCGCTAATCGGCCAGCCAAAAAGTCCCTGCCGTCCATAACTGTCCTGCCACATTAAAAGGAAGTGTTGAAGAAGCCAATGGTTTGGAACCAGTACTGTATCTTGCAGAAGGTGCTACAATTAGCTAAACTTATCATCTAAGCAGTTTAGATTCCAAATCTGAAATAGGAAACATATTTTAAAAAAATGATCTAACGGCGTTTTGTCTATTTTTGGAAATATTTTGTCACCTCGTTGTCATGTGTAAAAAATGACATCTTATTGTCGACACTGTATGGTGACGAGTCAATATACGGCAGAGCCCTCCAAAACGTATCTGTATTAGTAGTTGACTCTGAAGCAATCGGTGGGTAGCTGTATTTAAAAACACGAGATAAGAAATTACAAAGTTGCATGTTTACTATAAGGTGCACTGTCACATGGTTGCAAAATTTTAAAGTTTAAAGTAAAACTATGTTATTACTCTCTCTCCAGATGGTCTTTAAATGCCGAAAATGTCAGATTTTCGTCATCTTGTAAATATTCTGTAGCATAGTGACTACCAGCCGAGATTGGTTTTAGTTTGATATATCTTGGACTATTAATGTACAAATTCTCCCTAATCTCTTTCATTGTTGGTGTCCATTCTTCTGGTGGTATGACCTGAAAACAAACAACTGCAATTAAAATTCAATTCTGTAAATAAACATTAATTTTTTGTCAACAATAGGCCAATAAAACTTGGAGGTAGAAAGTGGTTTTTTATTTACAGCTTTATGGTTTTAGACATTATTTGTTAAATCCGTAGACGTATTAGCCCCTTAAAATAAGCTTTTGCATTTTTTTGGTACCAAAATCAAGGACTGTGTACATGTGACGCAGACAAGACGCAAGTGGGCATGTGCTTGATGAGGTGTTGATAAATATTGGTTTATTTTCAATATGAAAATCTCACCTTTACAACACCAGAGCTAAATATAAGCGAGGCGTTTGTTTCTACAAACTGAGAGAAGTTTTTAAACTCTTCATACGTCGGCCTTAGCACTGCTGAAAGTGTACCTTAAATAAGAAGAAACAAGATTAATTTTTGAAAATTTCAAACAATGCAGAAATAATTTTCTAAAGCTCTTAAAACGTACTTGGGTCTGCCATTTTTGGGACATGAGTTGGTCCTGAAACAATTAACAAGTTTTGTAAGTTGCGACAATTTAACATTTTTTACAAACCGCAAAGGACTCTTTTTCTGTAATAGTCATGAAAATCTTCGTTATTCAAAGGACAGTTGCACGGTTTTATTTGTAAAAAGTCAGAAGTGTTATGCTATCCTTTTAGCTTTTTCTTCATGCTGCGTAGCAATTTGTGGACTAAGAAGACCCTTGTTAATGGATCTGTGGGGCGGATTGTACATATTATTCGCGATGAAGATTCGAACCAACATGAAGATATACTGGTTGTAATTATCGCTGAGCGAAGCTCAGTCCAAGTTGCTGAGGAGTCAGGCGTTGTCTCGGTCGTGAGTCTGTCTGTCTGTCCGTGTCTGCGTTCCT